TTGGAGATTTGCATTGATATTTTCCTCTTTTGTAGCCACAAATGCTGGTGGCCATGTTGATGGTGGGCCATGAAGAAATAGTGGGCCATAAAACCACATACTATTTTTCGCGAATTTAATCGACGTCATTCCTCTAGACAATGCATCCGCTGCATTATTTTCAGATGAGACATGCCTCCAATGCCTTTGTATCGTTAATTCGTGTATTGTAGCTATTCTTGTCGCTACGAATTTGTCTCGTATGGATGTTGTACAGTTTATCCATGACAAAACAATCCTTGAATCAGACCACAAAAAGGTTGTGGCGTTCTCCATGGATAAATCTTCTTTTACCTTAGCTGTCAGTTGTGCACCCAATACAGCCGCCTTTAGTTCCAGACGAGGTAATGTTAATGCATTTATAGGAGCTAAATGTGATTTGGCACATAGCAATTGAATTGTTACTCTTTTATCCTTATGCAGTGCTCGGATATATACGGCAGCTCCAAAAGCTTTCTCCGATGCGTCAACAAAAGTGTGTATTTCTGATGCTATCGGAAATTTTCCTTGGAATATATGACGTGGTACTTTTATGGTGTTTAATATTTTTAACTCCTCCCTGTACCTTTTCCATTCCTCCTGGAGATGAACTGGAAGTGCTTCTTTGTAGTCAAATCCTTCCTTTGTGAGGTGTTGCATAAAGATCTTTGCCTTCATTACCACCGGTGAGAAGAGTCCAAGTGGATCGAAAATCCTAAAGATCTCTGATACGACATCTCTTCTAGATATTACATCCTTGGTGGCAATTTCTGTTCTTCCACAAAACTGGTCAGATTTAGGCATCCAAGTGATTCCCAGGGTTTTAATGCTGTACTCTTCATAAGCAGTATCGTCCAATTGTACGCTTGAAGTGATGTCTTCCGTTGGAATTCCTTGAAGTACCTGAGCGTTGTTCGTGCACCATTTTCTTAAGTTAAACCCTGATTTATGCAGTAGTTTCTTAAGTTCTTGCTGTCTCTGGAGGGCCTCTGGTATGGAATCTGCTCCTGTTAAGCAGTCATCCACATAAAAGTAATTTTCCAACGCAGCAGCTCCAAACGGGTATTCCTTTCTTTCCCTTTGGGCGAGATATTGTAGACATTTTGTGGCTAAATATGGAGCCGCTTTTGTTCCATAAGTCACTGTTTTTAGTCTATAGTATCGTAGATCTTCTGATGGATCATTGCGCCATACTATTGTCTGATAGTACTGGTCCTCGGGATTGATCCAGATCTGACGATACATTTTTTCGATGTCGGCAGTAAATACATATTTGTGCATCCTGAACCTAAGCAATATTGAAAATATTGAATTTTGCACAGTTGGACCTTTATGCATCAGGTCGTTGAGCGATTTTCCGGACGAGGTAACTGCAGACGCATCAAAAACCACTCTCAATTTAGTTGTAGAGCTGTCAGGTTTTACGACACAATGGTGTGGGATGAAATAACGTGATCTTGCTATTTCTTTTGTCTGCATTTCCTTCATATGACCAAGAGCCTCATATTCTTTCATAAATGTAACGTAGCTTGCCTTGGTTTCCGGATCTCGAGCGAGCCGCTTTTCTAAGCAAAAAAATCGTCGTGTCGCTAGATCACGACTCTGCCCCAGGGATGAAGGGTCTTCCAAAAAAGGCAATCGGACGATGAGTTTATTATCTGATGCCATCTGAACATTTTGTAAAAAATGCTGCTCACATCGTTTTTCCAGTGGAGAAAAATATGTTGTGTTGTTTGGAAATGAGTCCAGTTCCCAAAATCTTGCGATCTGTTGATCGACCTTTTCTTCTTCCGTCAATACTGCACATGTGCTCGGATTTTTTGAAGCGTCTTTTAGCTTTCCAGCCACAATCCATCCTAATTTGGTTTTTTGTAATTTAGGCAATCCTTTTCCAATTGATACCTGCTTGTGTTGCATGATATCGAAGTAGTGTTCTGCTCCTAACAGAATGTCTATTTTTCCAACTTTGTCGAAATTGGGATCAGCTAATGTTATGCCTTTTGGAAGCTTCCAACAAGATGTATCGATTGACTGTGCTGGTTGATCTGAGACTATGCGTGGTAGTACAATTGCCTCTAGTCTTGAACTGAATTTATTATGTCTTGATTTGAGCATAACATTGACTCTTGCTTTTGATGTTTGTGTTCGTTCGCCAATTCCATTTATTTGTAGATCTGATTTTTCCACTTTCAGATCTAATATTTTCAATGCTCTTTCCGAGATTACATTGACTTGTGAGCCTGAGTCAAGCAATGCTCTGAACTCAGCAATTTGTCCATTGTTGCCTTGGATATGAACTCGAGCGGTAGCCAATAGTACATAATTATTTTGTACACTATTTGCTGATGCTGCAGTTTTGGCTTCGGACTTAGTTTCCAAATGGAGAAGAGTGTTGTGTCCTTTGTTGCATTTAAAACAATCTCTTCCTTGGCAATTTTTCGCTGTGTGATTGCGTTTGAAACATTTGACGCACAGTTGGTTCTTTTGAACCCAATTTAATCTATCTGCAGAAGTTTTCTTTAAGAACTGTGTGCATTTATAGATAGCGTGATTTGGCTTTTCACAAAAATGGCAGACATACTGGCTTTCAGCTCCTGCTGAGGCACATGTGATGGGTTTCTTTGGTTTTTCCCATCCAATGGCTTCCAATGTAAGAAACCTTTGCTCGAGGAATTTCATGAATTCGCTCAAAGGTTGTAATTCCTTAGTATTCTGTATCGATTGCTCATACAACGTATGAGTTTGACGATCTAATTTCTTCGTCAGAAAACATAGTAGAAGCGTATCCCATTTATCTGTTTCTATGTCGATGTTATTCAGAGCTGCTAAGGTTTCTTTGATGTTATCGTGTAATGCCTTAATTGATTTGGCATCATTTGATATGTTTGGTTGATCCAATAATTTTTGAATCAATGTGTTACTGAGCACTCTCTTATTGCTGAAACGCTCTTGTAACGTATTCCATGCTGTAATATAATTTCCTTCTGTTAGCGACAGGTGGCGTATTAAGTTTTCTGCCTCTCCCGTAACATTGGTCTTTAAATACCACATCTTTTGAATGACGGGTACAGATGCTTCATGAATCATTTTCTTAAAAATGTCATGAAATTGTTGCCACTTTAGGTAGTCTCCATCAAACTTGGGGATTGCAACCTTTGGCAGGGGTAATGCATTATGCATATGTGGAGCAGGAATAAATGGCTGAACAGGGTCTGATACAGTCATTGTTTGAATTGTTAATACTGCATCTTCAGCTGCAATATAACTGTTAATGTTATATCCCATTTTCACAGGATCGATGCATTTGGAATAGATTTTGACATGAATCGTTCTAATTTCATCCCAATATTTTAATATTATTGGTTTGAAATCCTTTCGCGTCTCATTTGCCATTCTGTTCATGATGCGCTGTAGACTTTCAAGCAACACCCTTTGTTCTTGGATCATGGGCTCAATTTTGGACTCATTCTCCATGGAGGTAATAGATCCAGAATCTACCTTCATTTCCAAAGAAGACAATTGTTTGGTCAACTCGTCGTTGTATTTGCTGACCAATTCTTTAATGTTTTCAAAATATTTATTAGAAAAATAATTGTGCTCATATTTCGCGCCATGAGTTATTTCCTGAATGTTTGTGTCTTCCATTAAAAATGTTTTCCAGAGATTCATTAACCTCTGAAGTCGGGTTTGAAAAAATTCAGGCTGCTGCTTCCTTTCAGAGGGATCCTTTTTGTAGTTCCTGATGATGTCCTCTTCGCCCGTGGCCAATTGCCCTTCCAGCACAACATTAATGCTTGATGATGCCATTTTTTTATTATTTGCCGTACTACTTTGACCCGATGGAGGTAATTTGTTTGTCGTTATGACAGGCTGTGCCTCTACTCACAACCAAAAAGGTGGTCAAAGTAGACTAACAAATTTTTTAATGACAATGTAGAATGATGAATGTTTTTTTTTTGTATCCAACCGTAGTCGCCAAGTTGACTGTATCGGTTTGGGTAGATTTAAATAAATCCAGCTAGTTTCCTTCACACAAGGTAATGACGATCACAACTGTGATTGATGACGTATGCATGTAAATTGGTCGCCAAGTTGACCAATTATGCAGGATTTTCCAAATAAATCCCAGTTCCAAATCGGGAACAATACTCAGATGAACGGTTAAATGTCCAAAAGTCGGGGGTCACCAAATGATCGAATCAAATGAATCTGTTGATGTAGATTCACTTGGTTCTGGTGATTGTCAATATGACAATCGTATGCTGAAATATAAATGTGTATGCTACCAGTTCACGTACTAGTAACAAAATGTCGCCGCAATTGGTACTTAAACAAATTGGACTTCGGAGATGTGAATACGTCAGAGTTTTCTTTCGTACTGATTTTATTTGGTAAAATGTGCGGTATATATACAGTTTCTAATAGTACAATTGTTTACTTAGGATCATAGGCTTGTTTGATTAGTTCTAGGTATAAGTAGGTATGGAAAGATATTTATATGACTGTCGTAAAGCGATTATCATTCAGATGGTGTGACATTTTACAATTGCAGATCATTTTGAATGTAATTTATGACTGTGTTATCAATATAACAAGATAATGTGCATGCATGTGCATGCACGTGCATCCATCTGTCTGTTGAATATTTATTTAGGTCAGCGGTGCATATCTCATATTTCTTGTGTTAGTTTGAGAATATTTATATGGGTTACTGAGAATTCCCAACAGACCCAAATTTAGGTCTAACCATACGGTTTGATGTTTAAATCTAAATCGTACATGCACCTTAGCGATTATATATAAAATTTAAAATTTGTTTTTCATCTTTCATCTACATCAACAACACTACTCACGCCAACACGCTCCTTTAGCTCGCCACCCTCCCCTAGACCCACACACTGCAGAGTCAGGGCAGAGACGCGGCAGAGGCAGAGATGTATGTTTGTTACATACATCCACTTTTTTAACAAATACAATATACCCTATTTACTCTTCGAGTACCGGGCATAAAAATCCTAACTTACTCTAGTTGACATTTGTCATCGCTGATTTCTGGTACTGCAGGAATGGGACATTCATCTACAAATGTACACATGCATACAATTACGGGTGTACATACATATGTACATATGTACATATGTAAATAGCTGCGAATCAATACGCGTGTTCACGGGCTTGTTCTGTCCCTGGTGCGTGAAGCGGATCTTCAGCACCTTCCCTTTCTGAAAGTATACATACATATTTTTGGATTGCTATGGATAAGAGCCTAAGCCAGAGCCTATTTACTCGTTACTCCAGGAACTCGTTCTCCTCCTTCCGCTCGTTGGCCGTCACGTGCTCGTTGACCAGCGTGTCATGCTCATAGTTATTGAACTGAAGCTTCATCTTGGCAATGGTCGGTGCCTCGAAGGCCTTTGGGTCTATCTGGAGGAGTCTGAAAATAGAATATATCTTGTATTATTACCTGCCTGAGGAACTCGGGCGAACTTACGGATTGGGGGCCTCGTCGGCGCTGTCGATGGAGCGCGTTCGCCCCTTCAGGTTTACCTGCACGAGGCTGACATGGCTGTTGCTCTCCTTGGTGTATAGCTGCTCCGTCAGCTGGCGGATCTCATCGTCGCTGGCCACCGAACTGCCAGACGACTGGAAGCCAGGCCGAACTGCAGTTGTGGAAGCTCCGCTGTGTCCTCCCGTCCCCCCCGTGTGCGGCAGAAAGGACACTCCATTGGCAGTCCTCATAGTGGTTGTGGGCTGAGTCGGGTGAACGGGGGCTGCTGGGTGCACGGGCGTGGGCAGAGGCGATGCCCAGGCAGAGGAGGCAGAAGGAGTTGGAGACGGAGTGGGAGTGGGAAGAGCAGTGGGAGAGGAAGGTGCACCTTTTAGGGATGGGCGACGGGGAGCAGGCAGAGCCGGGAATTCCTCCTTCGGTGGATGCGGCTGCGGCTTTGCGGTTGTTGTTGATGTTCCGAATCGGACATCAATTGATCCAGGCTGAACATTGGGCGTCTTGGGTCGCTGGGTAGTTGTGCCCCTGCTGTTGTCCAGCGGATCCACTGCCGGACGTCCCGCACCGCCACCGCCGTAGCTTAACTCGAAGCTGTTCGGTTCGGGCTTTTGGGGGTGGTAGGGGGCGAATCCTGGTGGCAAATTGGGTGCTCCGCCAGCTTCCTGTGGCCGGTGAGGGGGCGGCTGGTGTGGCGACTTCGTGCTGGTAGTGAAATGACTGACGCCCACTCCGTCAGTTGGCCACTGGGGACTGCCAGCAGCTCCAAAAGGGGAGGAGCTGGGCGTATCGGGCCGTGGACCCAACGGCATTAAAGGAGCATGGGAGATTACCAGTGGTGGAGGCTTCTGGGCGGCCTGGGAGGGAGTTCCTGCTGCGGAACTCGGCCTAGCTGTGGTTGTCGATTGCGATGTCAATGTCGAGGTCGATTTCGAGGTAGTAGTGGCCTCCGTGCTGGTTGGATCGCCGCTACTGCCAAAGAACTTTTTGAAGCCGCCGAACCAGCTGGACTTCTTTGTCGTAGCCTCAATCACATCCAGCGGGTCTGGCGTGACCTCGATCTCGCTCTTGTAGCCTGCTGATATATACATATATCATTACATATATATGTACATAAAGGTTATACATTTGTAAATATACATATGTCACTAAGTGTTTGTCTTAAGTGCGATGTGCCAGTGCCCGGCAAGAGACAGGCACACGATGAGTGTACTCAACTTTAGGTAACGCATTTCGCACCTTATTTAAGTATTAACAGTTCGCCTTGGAACTTCTTCGGTTGGAATTTGTATTAAGCAACCCCAGCTAGAACCGGACACAGACACAACGCGACTGATCAGTGAGGAATTCAGTGCGCAACTGAGACTCAGCGACACACAGACCTCGAACATCGCCCTCGAACTCGGCCACGTTATTGGCTCCGCGTCGGCTGCGGCTACGGCCATGAAGCAATTATATAAGGAGGGCCGTCGGTAAAATAAGGGAAACGTAGCAATGCTGTTAATAAGTTCGAGCGAAAGGGCTCTGCGCTGTAAGTGTGAGTGAAACGACAATGGAGTTGCTGATTAACGCTTTGATGGTATGGGTTTAAGGAAAAGGAGTAGAAGTTTTCTTTTATATATTGATTTTTAATTATTTACTACGTGAGAGCAGTCGTTATTTTAGTTTATTAATATACGTATATTTCGTTTCTTAAGCTCTTAATTCCATAATAAATTGAAACTTTCTTGCTGCGAAAAATTAAATATCAAATTGTGCTTACGGAAGGGGGAATATATGCGAAATATGCGTCCGCACCCAACTTTCCGCGTCGACAAACAAACACGCACTGAACTCTAAAGGGAGCAAAAGGAACGAAGACAGCCGACTGTGCGTTCGCTTCATGGCCGAGAGTCGGCGCCGGCACAATTTAGCGCAAAGCACTCTACTTGCCTCGAATGGTGGGTCATGTCGGAAGCGGCATTACCGTGAAGTCAAAGGAAAAGTCACTTTTATCCATTTACAACCCGTTTGTACGTTACCCTTTACTTCATTTTGTATCCGTGTATTTTAAAGTTTTGTTCAAATCTGCGGAAACTTCCCTTTGGGTACACTTTATAAATAGATACATTCATAAGCTTTAAATAATGACCAAGTTCATTAAAACCAGAGACAAGATACTTGGGTTGTGTGAAAAAAGCACTACCTCACATAAAAAAAGAGGTTGACATAGAAAAAAAAATTATCGTCCATTTATTGAAAAACTTATTTATTAACTTACTTGTGTAAATATATACATACATACATATGTATTCACATTATGTGGGTATAGAAAGTAGTAACCATTTATATTTTAATGCATTCAACAAACATGAATAATAATCCTTACTGTCTTCGTTTACCCCTGAGAGTTAAAATATTTCGGGAACTATGAGTATTTCCAGTCGAATAATTCATCTATGATACATATGTTGTACATACATATGTATATATGTACAACATTGCCACTTTTTCATTTCACGTTGTGATTTTACGAATCGTAGCTCAATCGGATTGCGGTGCTACCGGACTGCAGTTGAGCTGTGGCCTCGGGCTGTGGGCTGTGGGCTGCGGGCGATCTGTGGTTGGAGTAGGGGACAATGTATGGAAAAATTTATTTATCGAGCAGCCTCCATAAAAAAGCCATAAATAGTCAAAAACTAACCATTACCGAAAGGTATGGCGGAGGGATTGTGGAGGAAATTGAATTTGATTTGCACAAATCTGGCTCACAAAGGCGTTCCAATTAAATGTCGCTTACATAATGGCTGGGAACTTTGATTCTCTCTCTTTCTCTCTCTCTCTATTTACCGCCTTATCGCAAGTCTACCCGAATTCACTACTTATACAAACACAAAAATAATTAATTGCACTCGCCCAGCCCGGTCTCTCCTCGACCCCCTCTAATAAATGCGAATGAAACTGAAAACTCGAGTCGGAACCAGTGCCGCAACACTTCAAATACCCTCTCTACTCTTTATACACCATACAATATATATGTATGTGTGTGTGTACATGTGCTAGTACATACACATGTGCATATGTATGTACAGCCTTAATTTTTCTTCAAACCTTCGAAGTACCATCCATACGTATACATCCGTAAATGTACCATCCAAATGCAGGGATCTAATATACGAGTGTAGACTCGTAATCCTTGAGCACCGGGAGTAGAGACAAGAAGCAGCAGCCTGCTTATCTGCCTTAGAAAGGCCACCGTCAAAGGTCAGATTTGTATGCGCCTCCAGTTGAGCCCCAAATCAGGGATGAGGGTAAACAGATCTGCCTGTGTGCACATATGTACGTACACACAAAAATACATGTACCCCCTGTACATACATATGTACATGTGTATTTCTAAAGTGAGCA